ATGTTATAAAAATTTAGACACAAAGTGCTGGAAATGGGAATCAGAACAAGGCACCTTCTTCCACATGTGGTGGAATTGCAAAAAAAAAAAAAGAAAATTCTGGAAAGCAATTCACGCCAGAAGATATTATAGGAACAAATTAAACTTAGGTTGTTGTAGGTTTTTTCGGGCCATATGTCCATGTTCTAGAGGCATTCTCTCCTGACGTTTCACCTGCATCTATGGCAAGCATCCTCAGAGGTGATAGATGCAGGCGAAACGTCAGGAGAGAATGCCTCTAGAACATGGACATATGGCCCAAAAAAACCTACAACAACCCAGTGATTCCGGCCATGAAAGCCTTCGACAAGAAATTAAACTTAAATTGGAACACTTTTTATTGGGAATTACAGATGAAAAATTAGAGAAGAATAAAGATGTCTTCTTTAACTATCAAATTTTCCCCAGCCCTTGCCTTCCCTCACTCCTTCTCCTTCTCCCCACTTCCCCACACCTCACGCAGTTCCCCCACCACACCCCTAACTTCCCTCCCTTTCTTTCCTGTTTAACCTAATTGGAAAATTTCCATAAAAATTAATGTTAAAAATGAAACAAGCTCTGCTCTGCTCTGTCCTGCTCTGCTCTGTTCCCAGGGCCCCTGGTGGCAATGGGGCCCAGAGCGGGGGCGGGGCTTCTGCAGGGGGCGGGGCTTCCCTGGGCCAGGGCTGGGCAGACTCCCGCCTCCTGGGCGCTACTTCCCTTTGGGGCTGCGGCACAGCTGGAGCGCAGGTCTTCCTGTTGGGCGCGCACGCGGGGGATCGTGGTGTTCCTGCAAAGGGCAGAGAAAGCAGGGCTTGGGTCTCCTTCCATGGGGGCCTCTCTTAGGGCCTGCGCTGAAGGAGACCCCAAGGCGGACCCTCCTCAGCTGACGTGGACCCCTCGCTTGTCTCTTCGTCTGCTCTTTCTGCCCTGCGACTCCAACCGCCTGGGTCTCTCTGTGTGCTTGGAGGGAGTCTCTACGCTCTGGAACTGATCAGACTAAACACTGTTGTTTTGTTTTCCTTCCATCCCAAAGCTCTTTACAAACCTCCCTCCCTTCTTCCCTTTCTCCCTCCCTCCTTCTTGCCTTCTCTCTCTTTTCCACCCCTTCTTCTCTCCCTCCTTCTCATCTTCCTTCCTTCCACCTCCCTCGCTTCCTCTCTCAGCCCTCCCTCCCCTCCCTCCCTTCTTCTTTTCGCTCCTTCCCTCCCCTCCTTCTCCCCCTCTATTCCTCTTTCAACCCTTCTTGCCTACTCCCTCCCTCCCATCTTCCATCCCTTCCTCCTTCCCTCCTCCCTCTATCCTTCCTTGATTTCTCTTTTCCCTTCCTCCATTTCCTCCCTCCCTTCCTCCCTCCCTCCCACCTCCCTCACTTCCTGCTTTCCCTTTCTACATTCCTCTCTGTCTTTCCCCTTCCTCCTTCCCTCCCTCCCTTTGTCCCTCCCTCCCTCCCTTTCCTCCCTCGCTTCTTCATTTCCCTTCCTCCTTTCCTCTCTCAGTTCTCCCTTCCTTCCCATCTTCCATCCCTTCCTCCTTTCCCCCCTTTGTCCCTCCCTCGCTCTTTCACTTCCTTTCTCTTTTCCTTCCCTCTTCCCTTTCCTCCTCCCTCCCTCCATTTCTTCCTCCTTACTTTCCTCCCTCTATCCTTTCTTTCCTCCTCCTCCTTTTCCTCCCTCTTTTCTCCCTCCCTCCCTCCCTCTCATCTTCCTCCCTCCCACCTCCCTCACTTCCTCCTTTCCCTTTCTCCCTTCCTTTCTCAGTCCTCCTTCCCCCCTCCCATCTTCCTCTCAGTTCTCCCTTCCCTCCCATCTTCCATCCCTTCCTCCTTTCCCTCCTTCGTCCCTCCTTCACTCTCTCTTCACTTTCTTCCTCTCTCCCCCATTTCTTCCTCCCCCCTTTCCTCCCTCTATCCTTTCTTTCTCTTTTTCTCCTTCCCTCCCCCCTCCGTCCCTCTTTCTTTCCTCCTCCCTCCCTTCCTTACCGGTCCATCAGGTGGGTGGGTCCTTGGCGTACTCTGGGGGGTACCTCTGTCGCCTGCTGGCCGCCACCAAGCGCCGAAGAGCAGCTTGCAGTCCGTGCCGGGAGTGGAGGGCGGAGGTCCTGGCGAGGATGGCCTTGGTCTCCCAGCCAACTCGCCTGACTTCAGGGTCATGGTCGGCAAGGAGGAAGATCAGCCCTGGAAGGGAGAGAGGGAGGGAGGAGAAAAGGTGAGGGAGGGCACACGGACTCCCCAGGGAGCCTCTCCCCCCAGGCCCAGGCCCTCTCAGGCCCCACTTACAGGCCTCGAAGGTGCAGACGTTACTCTGGGTCGCGATGCTTCCGATCTTGTGAAGCAGGTGACCTGGAGGGAAGGCAGGCAACAAAGAAGAGAGGGATGACCTCCATGAGCAAAGAGTGCCCTAGAGTTCCCCAGGAGGGGCTCCACGGACTGTTCTGCAATGGGGGGTTCCTGTGGGGAAAAGGCCCCTCCTGCTGCCCCAAAGGCTGACCTGGAAGCCAAGGGTGAGCACAAACGGGGCCAAGACCCTTACCGAGTAACATGGCTGCCGCCTTCTTTGCTGATGGATGTTGGCTCTTAAAGAAAAGCAGGAAGCCATACACCTTCTCCTCCAACTCCCACCTGGAGCTGCAGTGCTGGATCTGGAGGAGAGAGCGGGGTCAAGAGAAGCCAGGCAGAAGGGCCCTTGACTGCCAGGCCTTAGGGCGACCACTAACCAGGCGCTTGGACATCTTGTGCAGCAGCTCCTGCAGGCTGAAGGTGTCCCGCGCCAGAACGCTCTCCTCCAGGTGCCATCCGAGGACCTGCGCCACCTCCCGGAGGGTCTCCCTCGCAGCCTTCCAAGAGGAGAAGGAAGAGGGAAGCTGAGCCAGGCTCCCGTGGAGGGCAAGGGCCCCCTCCCTCCTCCCTGAGCCGCAAGGCCTTGTGGGGCCAGAGCTGGGCTTCCCTCCTACCTTGGCAACCTCCTCATCCTCATCTTCCACGTGCACCAGCACCGCCAGGAGGCCATGGATGGTCTGGCGCTCCTGATTGGGATCTTCTGGGCGCCAGAGAATATGTTGGAAGCATTCCAGGGCTGCCTTCCGGATCTTGGCCGCCTCCTAAAAGGGGGAGTGAAAAGAAAGCCATCTTTCCCCCGTTTCCTTCCCTGAAGGCCCTTCTCAGGGCATGGGGAGAGGGAAAAGCCAGCTCCCTCCCTCCCTCCCCAAGGAGGAGGCCCAGGGGCCAAGACTCACGTGGTGGAAGAGAAGGCGGTAGACGGCAGCCAGGTGAACCTTCGCGGGGCCCCGGTCTTCTTCCTCAAGCAAGGGCTCCAGCCGGCCAGCCAGGTCCAGGAACTCCAAGGTGATGTTGTTGTGGGGGGATTGCAACCCCGCAGTGACCCCGACCAGGAGCTCCTTAAGGCCCATGGTCTGCAAAGAGAGAGGAAGGAGGGCGAAATCNCCTTCCTATCCTGCTATTTCCCCCCCCCCCCTATTTCTCTCTACCACCCCTATACCTTACCCACCCCGTTATTGTATGTTTTTAATGAAAATTAATAATAAAGATTATTTTACAGTGAAAGCGCAGCCCTGTGTAAGATGTACCCCGCCTCCCCCCTTCTTTGAGGAAGGAACCTTCCAGGATCTTCTTGCTACGACTTCAAGAGCAAGGCCTGTTGGGCCTCTCTGTGCTGCACGGAGCCTGGGCTGCGCTTGACTTACCTCCCTGTAGGTCTTGCAGAGGAGGAGGAGACCCTGCCTGCTCTGATGTTGGACGGCCAGGCTGCGATGTTGGAGCCAGGCCGTGAGCAGCGTCCAGGTCTTCTCCGGGGAGTGAGGGCGCTGGCCGATGTGCAGTAGCTGAAAGAGAAGAGGAGAAGCGTGAGGGGCTAGAGCCAGGAAGGGAAGCACTGTCTCTTCTCACCTCACCAGCCCTGCCCTAAGGCCCTTTCCAACCCCAAAACCCAGGCCGACCAACCCTCCTCACCTGAATATAGAAGACCACCATGCCGGCTGAATGCTCCAGCGGCACTTCTGCCTCCCAGGTGGAACTCAGGTGCCGGAGAAGGGAAGAAGAGGACTTGAGGAGGCTCCTGCAAGACAAAAGAGACCCCCTGAGGGAACCCAGCCAGAGAGAACAAGCCGGGCCTCCTCCCTGAACCTCCTCCGGCCCTTGCTCCTTACTGTAACTGGAGGGCCATCCCCTCGGGGCAGATGCTGGGATCTTGAAGCATCTTTTCGGAGGTCTCGTTGAGGGACACCCAGGCCACCCTCTTCACTAGCACTGAGATGATCTTTGCCAATTCTCTGCAGAAGAAAAAGGAAAGAAAAAGGCTTACTTCCCAGTGGAGGGTCTGAGTTCCCCATCAGCCTCCCCAAAAGGGCTGGGAGTCCTGCTGACCCTTCCTCCCCACCCACTCCTTTTTTTTTAGATATTTTTATTAGCTTTTCTTAAGTACAAAAATATAAAAGTATGGGGGGTGCATATTGGGGGTAGGGAAACAGTGAAGGTAAAAGGGGAATGGGGAGGGAGGGGGGGAAACCCACCCACTCCTTACACTGGAGGAACGTAGCTGCTGCTCCGGTTCCTGCTGGGCACCTCCAACCCAGGCCTTGTGACCTCGATGAAGTTGGTCACCAAGGCGAGCAGAAGCTCCACGAACCACTCCTCCAGGCGAGTGCTGTCCCTGATGTGCTTTATGATCCCGCCGATGGCCCGTGTCGCTCTTGCCTGCGGAGAGAAAGGAGGAGGTTTGGACCTCAACAGAAGGAGGGCTCCTTGTCAAGGCTGGGAAAGAGGGGGTCTCATTCTCCTTCCCCTTACCGTGGCCGCATCCCAAGTAGGGCCGCCCTGTTCCTCGCCCTCCTGGGCTAGCCAAGGGCCCTCCTTCACCTTGGCCAGGAACAGGTCCAGCGCCGCCTCCAGGCAACAATACTGAGAATTTAGTACGGCGCATACTAATTCACCACAAGGCCTGTGAATGAAGAGAGGGAAGGGGGAGCCATGGTCAGGGCCAGCCTTGTCTCCGATCCCATGGGGAGACCGCTAGGGCCCCATGGGACAGGGGAGGGGCACCCCCAGGCCCAGCTGTCCTACCTCCCATTGGACTCCAGAAAGTGGTCCGTGGCCATCTTGAGTTGTTTGCGGGCCACGTAGTCCACTGCCTGCATGGCCTCTGCAGAGGAGGGACTGCAGACCAGCTGGCAAAGACGATGCAGGTGTTCTTTCGCCTGAAAGCAAAGAAAGGAGGGAAGAAACAATGGCACCCGGCAGCCATGGAAAGGCTCTTGGGGCCAAAAGTGGAGGGAGAGAGTTGACAGGTGAAGTGTGTTGAATGCCTGCTGAGGGTAACTGGGCATTGGGCTCCCAACATACCTTTCCAGTGGCCAGAGAGACCACCAGGTGACGAACGAGATCCGAGAAGAGCAGCCTACCTGAAGGCCGGATTTCTCTGGGACGAACCTGCCACCCGGAAGGTCTCTGCAGGAGGCCCCTCTTCATCTCCTGAGGAAGGCATTGGGCAATGCCTCCTGGATGGTGGTCCCAGGCCTGGCCGGGGGGAACTCTGGGCCTTACCTGCTCTGGGTCCAGGGAGGACCACCTCCGAGGGTGAAGGGCCATGTCTACGGCTTCCTCGTGGCTCAGGGAACTGGAAGAGAGAGAGGCACAAGGAGGTGAGGTCTGGCAGGGCAGGGACGGGGGACAAGGAGCAGGGCTGTGGTCATCCCTCCCGGGCAATAGCAACGCACCTGCTTGAACTGGGGGGAGGGTCCCACACCTCATCCTCCAGGCTGGCGATGTCTGCCAGCGTTGCCTCGTCGGAGTCCTGCAAAAGACAATTGGGCAGAGGAGTGAAAAAGGGGCCAAAAGAGAAGGAATGGGAAGGCAGCCCAGGGGAGGAGGACTAGAGTGGGAGGAAGGAGGTGAAAGGAGGGGCAGGGAGAGGTAAAGAGGTTGGGGGGTAGAGAGGAAGGAGCCCACCCCTCTTTCACTGTCCCCTTCCCTTCCTTACCATCTTCTGAGAGAGCTCGTTGACACTGCAAGGAGAGAAAGACAAGAAGGCAAGGTCAGAAGAAGTCCTCCCCTCTCTTCTCTCTGGTGGAGCCCCCCAAGCCCCCATGGAATAAGAGTGCAGGCTGAGGCCCCCTTGGCCTCAATTGGGAGAGGGAGGGAGGAGACCTCTGCCTGCCATGTTCCCCTGAAACTGGGAAGGAGGTACCTCTCTGTATTGAGGTCCAGGGCCACCCACTCCGGCAGGAACAACTCAGAAGGGATCCCAACTTCCTTTGAGCCCTGTTGAGGGGGAAGAAGGGGGAAGAAGAGGGAAGTTCGTGCTGTGCCTTTTGCCACACCCTCCCTCACTCTTTCCCAGGTGAATTCGTACTGCTAATCCTGGAGAGGGTTGGACTGCAACCCCCAGACCTCCTCCCCAATGACCACGCTGCCTGGGGCTGATGGGACTTAGAGTTGCCAGATTCCCACCGCAAGGGAGGCCTCTTCAGCCAAGGGCCACCTTGAACTCAAGGGGTCTTGGGGTGGCCCTGATCCAGCTCCCCCTTTCCAGCCCCCCTCTTTCACTCACCAAGTCTTTGGGTAGTTTGTTCTGCAGCGGAGTTGGGCTCTTCTCCGAGAGGAAGCTGCTAGAAGGGCAAGGGACAGAAGAAGAGCTCAGCTTGGGATCCCCTCCATTCTCCCAAGGTCCCCAAGGCCAGCCCCACCCCAAGGACCTTCCAGCCCCTGGGAGGAAGGCAACATTCTGGGAGGCCCCAAACCCCCAGACCGCAGCCTGCCCTACACTCCCCCCCCCAAAAAAAAAATCATGGGCAGGAGGTACCTCTCTGCTCTCTCGGAGGACGTCAGGCTCCCCCTCTGCACTTCCAGGCTGCTGTCCGCCCAGGGGAGCTCCTCTCTCCCCAGAAACTGTAGGGAAAGGAAGGGAAACTCAAGGCTCCAACAAAGAAGGGCTTCTCCTTCCGCTACAACCTCTCTCCCTCCAGTCATGTTTGGACTGCCACCCCCAGCATTCCTCTCAGTTGACCACACTGTCAGAGGCTGCTGGGATTTGCAGTCCAACGACACATGAGGGCTGTAGGATCTCCTCCTTCTGTGAGGGACAGGGAATGAACGGGATGGAGGAACCCAAGGGGAAAGGACGGCTATCTTGCTCCAGGGGTCACCAGGGGACACTCAACCCAACACTCATCTCCTGTCCCTAAAGCTCTGTCTCCCTCTGAAGGCGGGCATCTCTTCTGCTTTGGTCAGACCCTGCCTGGAATGGGACTGTGTCCAGTTCTGGGCACCAACGGTCAGAACAGACAGGGACAAACTAGATTGTGTTTAGAGAAGAGTGACCAAAAGGGTGAGAGGTCTGAGAACTATGACTCCCTTTGAGGACTGGTTGAGGGAGCCGGGAATATTTGCATTGGAAAAGAGAAGGCGGAGAGGGGATATGAGGGCCATGTTTAAATATTTGGAAGGGTATGCCATTGGGGGGGGGGAGCTTGATTCCTGTGTCTACAACTGCTGATGGAGAGTAGATTCACACATTCATAGAATCAGAGTTGGCAGATATCCCCAAAGGCCATCTAGTCCAGCCCAGTTCTGCCATTCAGTAGAAGGAAGCCCTACTGGACTCCCAGGCAGGAAAAGCCCTCTATCAAACAGCATTTTCTGTCAGGAATTTCTTCCTCATGTTTAGACAGAATCTCTTTTCCTGCAGTTGGAAACCATTGCTCCTTGAGGCCCTTGTCTCTGGAGCAGTGGAAAACAAGCTTCACTCTTCTCAATGGGACATCTCTTCTGATATTCACACCTGGCTCTCATGCCACTCTCAGCCTTCTTTTCTCCAAGCTAAACACACTCTGCTCCCTGAGCTGCTCCTCATAGGAATGCATGTCATCCAGTTCCTTAGCAAGCTTCTTAAGCGAGCAATGTCCAATGTGGCAAATTGCAAGCCCAGAGTTTTCAGGCCCATGGAAATGATCTGCCAGGAATGGGAAACCTAGAGTTTTTGTTTTATTGCTCTACCCCACCAACTGGCCAGACCACCAAGTTTGGAGGATTGATCCCAACATTCACTTGAGGGTCAATCCAAGCTAATTCTCCATGATTTGAGAAGCTGATGGATTTCACCCCACAGGGGACACAAGGCGGCTTACAAAATCCGGCAAGACTTTAATGCCGTAACATACACTTTACAATAAAAGAAATATAACCAACATAACCAAGGCTGGAATTAAACATGAACAACCTTAGATATGCAGATGATACAACTTTGAGGGCTGAAAGGGAGAAGGAGCTAAGGAGCCTTCTAACCAAGGTGAAAGAAGAAAGGGCAAAAGCTGGGTTGCAGTTAAACATTTTAAAAAAAAACCAAGATGATGGCAACCAGACTGATTGATAACTGGCAAATAGAAGGAGAAAACGTGGAGGCCGTGACAGGCTTTGTATTTCTAGGTGTGAAGATGACTGTAGACACAGACTGCAGCCAGGAAATCAGAAGACGTTTCCTTCTTGGGAAGAGAGCAAGGACCAATCTCGATCAAATAGTGAAGAGTAGAGACATCACACTGGCAATGAATGGTCGCATAGTTAAAGCAATGGTATTCCCCGTGGTAACTTATGGATGCAAGAGCTGGACCATAAGGAAGGCTGAGTGAAGGAAGATAGACGTTTTGAACTGTGGAGTTGGAGGAAAATTCTGAGAGTGCCTTAAACCGCAAGAAGATCCAACCAGTCCATACTTCAGGTATGAATGCCCAGCTGCTCACTGGAGGGAAAGATATTAGAGGCAAAGATGAAGTCCTTTGGCCACATCATGAGAAGACAGGAAKGCTTGGAGAAGAGAATGKTGCTGMGGAAAATGGAAGGAACAAGGAAGAGGGGCCGACCAAGGGGAAGGTGGATGGATGGTATCCTTGAAGTGACTGGCTTGACCTTGAAGGAGCTCAGGGTGGCATGGCCAACAGTGAGCTCTGCCCTGGGCCCGTCCATGAGGGCACCAAGAGTCGGAAACAACTGAACAAATACACAACAACAAAAACCATAACACATACCCTATCAACTATAAAACAATGAAAACATATAAGCCACTAAAAACACACAAGACAATGAAACAGATTAAAACATATAACATATTCAAAGCATAAAGTGCTGAGTCGTGAGTTTATAATGAGTAATTAGTCCATAGTCATGGTCTAAACTGTTGAACTCTAATTACGTATTGGCATATTCTCTGAACGCCTGCGCGCAAAGCAAGGTCTTTAGTTTTACCTGAAGACCAGGAGGGATGGGGCCTGCCTGATGCCACTAGGGAGGGAGTTCCACAACCGAGGGGCCATCACTGAGAAGGAAGGCCCTGTCTCATGTCCCCACCAATCACGCTTGCGAAGGGGGTGGGACCGAGAGCAGGACCTCCCCAGCAGATCTTAAAACTCTAGTTGGCTCATAAAGGGAGATAACTTCGAACAGGAAGTTGGACCAGAACCATTTCTAGTAAATTACTAGAAATCTCGAACATCTGCGCCCAATCCCACAGTTTATCCCTCCAATTTTTGATGCTTAATTTTTTTTTCCCCTTTCCAATCTTTGACAATCGTTATACATGCAGCAACGAAGCTGTAATGACAAATTTCTCTTTCCAGGCACATCCCTGGATTTTTTTAAACTTGGTTATGGAACATTATATTTGTTACCTGGATCATTTTTTCCAATAAGCCTGCACCAATTCACAAGACCATCACACATGGAAGAAGGTCCCTTTCTTTATTTTATACCTCCAACAGAATCCTGATTGGAAATTATCTATTTTGGTGAGGAGAGCTGTGGTTGCATAACACCTCTTCCTCTATCACGGGCACGACTTGTGGGAACGACTTGTGGGCCTTCTCCGTTGTGGCTCCCCGGCTATGGAACTCGTTACCTGGTGAGATTAGGCAAGCCCCCACCCTGGCAGCCTTTAAGAAAGCTCTAAAGACTTGGCTTTTTCTGATGTGCCTTTGGGGAGTGACCATATATTCCAGTCCTGTTGTTTCACCTACACTGCTTCCCTCATATGGCACTTTCCCCCACAAATGTACCTTTTCATTGCTATCTCATCCAGTGTTTTATCATTTTATGTCGTGCATTTGGCCCGCCCACTGTGTTTTATTTCCACTATTTTATTTTGTACTGTTTATTTTACTTGATTAGCTTATTTATTTTATTGTGATGTTATTTTGTTGTTTATATTTTATGTTGCTGTAATGTATCGCTGGGATTGGCCTCATTTAAGCCGCTCTGAGTCCCCTTTGGGGAGACGGTGGTGCTGTAGAAATAAAGTTGTTTATCATTATTATTATTATTATTATTATTATTATTATTATTATTACTGCATAACACCTATAGAACACTTTATATCAATTGTCTGTAACTGAGGCCGCCACTCTGAATTTGAAACCTTTATTCCACAGGTATTCCCAATGATCAAGATCTATGTTTCTCCCCAGATGTTTTGCCCATGAAATCATGGAGGATTTTACTTAGTTGTCTTCCAGGTTATAACATAGGATGTATAACATAGGACACATCTCCCCTTATGAACCAGCTAGGACAGGGGTCCTCAAACTAAGGCCCGGGGGCCGAATACGGCCCTCCAAGGTCATTTACCCGGCCCTCGCTCAGGGTCAACCTAAGTCTGAAACGACTTGAAAGCACACAACACCAATAACAAAACTATCTCATCAGCCAAAAGCAGACCCACACTTCCCATTGAAATACTAATAAGTTTATATTTGTTAAAATTGTTCGTCATTTTATTTATTGTATTGTTTTTAAGTGTTTTTTGCACTACAAATAAAATATGTGCAGTGTGCATAGGAAATCATTCTTTTTTTTTCAAATTATAATCCGGCCCTCCAACAGTTTGAGGGGCTGTGACCTGGCCCTCTGTTTAAAAAGTTTGAGGACCCCTGAGCTAGGACCTTAAGATCATCTGGGGAGGCCCTGTTCTCGATCCTGCCTGCGTCACAAATACATTTAGCGGGGACGAGAGACAGGGCCTTCTCAGTGGTGGCCCCTTGGCCATGGAATGCCCTTCCTAGGGACATTAGATCGGCACCCTCCCTTTTAACATTCCGGAAAAAAGGTTAAGACTTGGCTGTTTGAGCAAGCGTTTGAAAATGCAGTGTGACAGACATATGGAACGGCTGGATGATGAGATTGGGCAATGTTTTTAACTAAGAGACCTAAATGATCTTGTTATGGTTTTGTATTATATGTTAATGTTTTTAAATGTTTTATGGTGTTGTTAGGCATTGAATTGTTGCCTCCGTAAACCTCTCTGAGTCACCTGTGGGCTGAGAAGGGCGGTATACAAATAGAATAAACAAACAAATAAACAAACAAATTTGTACAATTTTGGCTATTAAACCAAGTAAAAAAGGAAACACAATTAGAGCCCTGGCAGACCGTGCAAAAAGAATCTGCGAAGCCCACCTCCTCCAAGGTGAACTGAACTACCTCAACTGGGCTTTTCAGACCAATGGAGACTCCACCACAGACATCAGAAGAGCTGCTAGACCGAGAACAAGGCATGAGAGTCAAGACAGAGATCCACTCAGAAGAAAAGTGTTCTGGCCATACATCAAGGGAACTACCGACTGCATAGGGAAGCTGATGAAAAAGCACAACCTTCAAAGTATCGACAGACCCACTAAGAGAATCCAACAAATGCTCCGTTCAGCAAAGGACAAGAGGGATCCTCTCACCTCTGCAGGAGTCTACTATATTCCATGAAGCTGTGGACAAGTCTACATAGCGACCACCAAACGCAGCATTGCCCAAACACGAATCAAGGAACATGAAAGGCACTGCAGATTACTTCAACCAGAGAAGTCAGCCATAGCAGAGCACATGATGAACCAACCTGAACACAGAATATTATTTGAGAACACAGAAATGCTGGACCACTCTCACAACTACCATGTCAGACAACACAGAGAAGCCATTGAAATCCACAACCATGTGGACAATTTCAACAGAAAGGAAGAAACTATGAAAATGAACAAAATCTGGCTGCCAGTATTTAAAAAACTCTAAAGTCAGGACAGCAAAT